AGGAATATGTTATAATCTTTCAGACTAGCACATCAAAAGTTATAAGCTTTCATGACCTAATTACACCATGCATCTGATGGTTTTTGAGTTATAGTTCACAAAAAATATGGTAATAAAACATTTATTCTGAAAAGGTGCTACCAAATTCCTTCTGACATATGGCTTCCATAGACTAATACAGCTCTCCTACCATAGTATGAATTTATTTATGTCCCACCTTGTTTTTATAAATAACTCAAGTGGCAAACATAGATAATGACTCTTCTTCCTCCTATTTTCTCCACAATTACAATCCTGTGAAGTGAATTTGGCTGAGAGCGAGTGACTGGCCCAAAGCCACCCAGCTTGTTCTCACACCTAAGGCAGGATTAGTCTACTGGTTTCTATCCTGTTGCCTCAACCACTACACCAAACTAGCTCTCATGAGTTCCTGGGATTCTTTAATGTGGTGTGTTTCTGTCTGAGTTCTTGGTTTTTCTGTTTCTTTGTTGGAAACCTTGTGGATTATGGAGGATGGAGGGATGAGTGCTTTGCCTGTTTGTAGCTGCATACATGTACTTACCTCCAAAGAAAGCAAGGAGCAAAAGCAATTCAGAACCAGCAATGCAAGTGAGTGGAGTGGATAATTTATCATGACTGCATCCCTCCTTTTCTTCAAGAAGCTGCAGGATGCAGTTTTTCCACCACCCCCACCCTACCCCCACCCCCGTAGTAATCCTGTGGAACATGCTGAGAACTAGTGATTCAGGCAAGAAGCTGTGAAGCTAAGCCATTAATTCTACATTACTGATTCTGGTCAAAAGACAATAAACTTACGATGTTGCATTGGTTCTCAGGTGATAGTACTGGCATGTAAAACATGAAAATGAAATGGAACAATTCATTTTATATTTATGTAGCAAATGGGGAATGACCTGTTGTAATGGGCTGTGAAAGTAATGTTAGGAGACAGGCGGAAAAGGAGCTACAGACTCGGCAGTGGCCAGACAAGAAATATCTCAGCCCACAGAAGAAATGGGGGCAAAAAAAGCATCTCAGAAGGGACTCTCTCTAGTTCTCTGGAATTAAGGCAAGGAAGGGGAAAAGGGATTTCAGACTTGCATGGTTCTGTTGCTGCAACCTTACAATAAAGGTAAGTATTAGTATTTATGATTTTGGTTACTTGTCTGGACTGCCTGGAAGGGCTGATACCTGCTCATCCCAAATTAGTGCTGAGAATACTCTGGATAGCCAAAAAAACCTCTTTCCCAATAAAATATCTTTTTGAGTACAAGTGTAAGATAGGAATAATCAATATGTTTTTAATAGGCACTAGATAACACTCTTTTGGCTTTTGGTTTGCTAATAATTGATTTTAATTTTGGATGGACTCTTTGAATAGGAAAAAAAATAATAGAAAGGTGCCACTTGAAGACTGGCTGAAAGGTAAAGTATTATTTTCTAGCACTTTGTTTTCTAAGAATGCCTCTGGACCCCATTCTTAGGCAATGAAAGAGCTATGGTATTGGCTAAAGATCACTATCGCCAATGCTGTCTGCTAAATGGGTATTTTATGACTGGCCATGCTTATGTGGGGAGCCCTTTAGTGAATAGGCAAGACCCTCCCTACTAGCAGCAAACATTGGGGATATGGGTCAACCCTTCAAATTGTCCAAGAGCCCCCCAAAAATTGCACTTCCTTGATTACCACAAACTCATCTGCATCCAACTTATTTGATAACATTTGGAAATACAAATGCTTGTCAACAGCTGGATTTCTACCCTTTCTTTATTGGGAAGTGATTAATGTTTCTCAATATAAATCAGCCTTATGATATCTTAAGTCTTCCACCTGCAAACCAGACTTCATGTTTCTCTCCAAATGTAGGTGGTGAGATTATTAATTTTCTTTTCTTTTTTAATTATTTCTTTCACTATTTTTCCTATTGCTCTATGTTTGAATTTAAGATAATGGGTTTAGAGGCCCTTCTCACCACCCCATCCATTTGTTATGCAGTTGTTGCCTAATGCTTTTGGGATTTGGATGACAGCTCTAAAAATCTATGTTGGCCAGAGAGGACACAAATTGCAATTCATCACCTATCAAGAACATCTGGATAGGAAAGATTGAATCAGAAAACAAAGTTGATGAAATTAAATTGATCATAAGTCACAAAGGCTTTGCTAGGCCAGACCATGCAGCACATCGAGGTAATAAAATTTGTCTGCAGGTACTAAACCCCCAAAACTCAGATTCAGCACTTTTTCTTGGATAGCTCCCTTTGCAAGAAAACTGACCAGCCCAAATTATAAACATTCATCCTTTTTAAACAACTAACAAAATGATTTTTTCAGATATTTAAACACAATATTCGTTATGCTCTATAGAATACCCTAATATAGCAGGTTTGTTACTATGAACCTACTGGCTACATAGTTAAGAAAGCAGCACCTTACTAGGCTTAAATATTAATGCCATCAACATACACTGGAGCCTTTAAAGCAGGGGTAAAATCTATTTACCTTCCCTACTGGTTTGGAAGTGTGTGTTCTGTGCGTGGGCGCGAAGCAAGTGCGCACATATGCATCATGTGCGTGCTTGGACCCTCTGTGCATGTGCAAAGCCTTCTGTTCATGTGCAGAGGGTCAAAAACCAGGAGGTAACAACGTCCGGGTGGGTGGGCGGAGCCTCGCGCTGCCGGCACTACCGGTTCATGTGAACTGGTCCGAACCGGTAGCATTTCACCCCTGCTTTAATGATTAATAAAAATGTACAGTACAGGTAGTCCACAGTTCATTTAGTGACAGATCGAAACAAAACAACACTGAAAAAAGTGACTTACCACCATTTTTTACACTTATGTCAGTTGCAGCCTTCCCATGTTCATGTGATCAAAATTCACACACTTGCTAACTGATTAATATTTATGACAGTTGCAGTGTCCCAGGGTCATATGATCACTTTTTGTGACCTTCTGACAAGCAAAGTCAATGGCGAAGCCAGATTCACTTAACAACGTGTTACTAACTTAACAAACGCAGCAAGAATGGTCATAAAATTGTTTTGCTTATCAATAGAAATTTTGGACTCAATTGTGGTCATAAGTCAAGGACCACCTGTATGTGTAGGGGGGAAGAATATTTCCACAGGGAGAAAGGAAAATTTATAATCTATATTCTGGCAGGAGAAAAGGAGGTGAAGGATATATACTACAAGGCCACCTGTGCTTTCTAGAGAATTGGTGGTGATGGGGGAATCCTCTGGCTTCACAAATAGATTTTCTAAAGTACCATCTATACTTCCTAAACTTTGCCATCATATCCTATAAAATGAATGTGTAATTCTAATATTTTTTGCCTATATCTGTGCAAATAAGCAAATTTAAGCAAGTTAAACGTCCTAAAGATCAGCAGATTAATATTCTGATTTCATAGTAAGATAAAAAGATAATTTAGTGGTGATAATATTATCCGCTGAGAACCAATGAGACTTTGTGATTACCGTGTTGGATTAGGGCTGCTAAAAGTCTCTCTTTAGCCATGGGAACTCACTCAGTCTCAGCCGAACCCACCTTGCAGAATCCTTGTGATAGGAATAAAATGAAAGGAGATTCTTAGATAAGACACATTTTGCTCCTGGGGAAGAGGCGGAATTTAAATCTAACAAATAAAATTATATTCATTAATGGGGCAAACCATAAATCAAACGAGATAACAGTTATCTCATTCAAAAGTAACATCTTATAATTCTTCAGAAATGGCCTCCAGGTTGAATGATGGAATGTAAGATGTCTAAGAGAGAGAGAGAGAGCACTTTAAACGTTATGCGATGCTGTAATAGAGTTTTGATAATTTATATAATTATTTTTTGGCATGAACCACTTATGCAGAATTAATGTTTATCTGACTGTGAAGTTCAGCAGGCAGAGCATTGGCATCAGATATAAATTTTATCCTGGCCAAATATTTCCAATTCCCAACACATTTAGCCAATGTGGATTGGATAATGCTATTATAAGTTATTTTAAGTAAGTAACTTAAAATAAATAGGTAAAATTAAATGGCAACTTTTGCCCAGAATTTGTTTCAAACACATTAACAGAAGCATGGCTTGGGATTTAACATAAGATAAATTTCTGGCTATTTCCTGTTAAAATATCCTGGTTTCCCGTCTGGATTTATTCAAACAAGAAAGGTATTGAACATTAAATGATACAAACCAAATCATACATAGTTTATACAGTTAGAATTTTTTTTCTAATTATGAATATGATTATGAATATTCTAAATATTTTTCTGACTCTTCTATGGTATTTATCATTGCATCTTTAATTTTAGTTTCCAAATTTACTTTGTCTCATTTTATTTAATTTCTTATTGCTTATTTCCAATCAACTAGATCAGTTCCTATTTCTCCTTTCCTGCCTTTCATAATTTTATTCATTTTAAAGAATTTTCAGGGGGAAAAAAACATTTTCAGCAGAATAAATTATTTATTAATTAATCAATTAATTATCTGCCTACCTCCAATGTTTGCAAGGACAATCAATGTAATCCATAAATTGCTGAATTCCAGTGTTATTTAATACAACCAACGGTAAGGAATGATAGGAGCTATTTTCAACAGTATATTGAAAACCACATATTGCCTACTTCCATACTGCAGAAAAAATATTGCTCATTTGAAAAAGAAAGTTAAAAGACAACTGAGATATTTTAAACAAGAAGTTATCCTGGATCAGTATGTAAATTACCGATTCTATGCTAGAATGTTTCTATATTACGCAAAATTAAGTCTAACAAATCCTGCGTAGAAACAGTTGAAGAAGGAAGCATTTGATAAACCAATCATTTCTGAGTTTATCTAGATGATGTCGTAATCATTGTATCTTTCAAGGACAGAACCTATGAATTAATTATTATGTGAGATCCACTTTGGACAAACATAAATTGGTGGAAATTGACATGTTGGAGGCCCAGTACACTTTCAGCTATAGACTGTATCTATTCTCTCCATGCAGGTCCCTTGCATTAGGCCAGCAATATACATCCCTGGGCTCCCAGCCAATTCTCTGTGGTTCAATTCCTGGCTTAGTGCCTAAGCAGCTTCGCTTCTGCCGAAACTACATTGAGATCATGCCTAGTGTGGCTGAAGGTGTGAAGCTGGGAATTCAAGAGTGCCAACATCAGTTCCGGGGGAGACGTTGGAATTGCACCACCATTGATGACAGCTTGGCTATTTTTGGGCCTGTTCTAGATAAAGGTATAACACATAGTATGCTGGGGGTGGGGGGAAGGGGACGCACATTAGGCAAACTGTTTTACATGCTGGAATATTAGTTTCTGTGTTTTCCAAGTATTAGGAATGTTGTGGGGTCAGGACTGGGAAAGGTTCTGAAATTTGAAGAATCAATTTCATCAGAGCAAAAATGGTTAGATGAGCATAAGAAAAAAAAAACCCCAATACTCACATATTGTAATTAGCCATAGCTGACTTCCTTACCCTTGGTTGAATAAGTCATTGTGATTTAATGAATTCTGCATGCTAAATCATAAATATTGACCTGTAAACCACAAATGGCTTAATACATAATATACTAAAATCAAAACATTGTTATGACATAGTGTAATTTATGAACTCAGACTCTTTTAAAATAGTTGCATATGTTCATGCTTAGGTCATATTAAAGTCTTAATATGAATTCCATAAACTGAATTCTAATGCTTCGTGTGAATTCAGTTCCATAATGCAGCAAATTATAGTCCTAAACAAATTAAAGGAAACGTATTATGGGAATACAATTATGGGAAGCAATTATTAGGAGGACTGTAAGATATCCCCAAATATATTTTCATAGGGAGAAAGAGAAGCCCATTACTCAATTATTAAGTAAACCAGAACCAAAGTCTCTCAAAGTAAGTGCAAGTCATAACTCCAAGGTTTCTTTTGTTGGTTTGTTTCTTTTTTTTCCTCCAGTGTTTATCTACATTTCCCAACTGGGAAGTAAATGAGATATTTTAAAATAAAATTGTCCTACTTGTAAGAACTGACTATTTTGTGAGAACATTTCACTTAAATTGTATACCAGCAGTTCAGAGAAAATGATTAAAATTGCAAGACCCAAAGAATGAATAGAGTAGAGTAGAGTAGAGTAGAGTAGAGTAGAGTAGAGTAGAGTAGAGTAAAATAGAATAGAATAACAGAGTTGGAAAGAACCTTGGAGGTCTTCTAGTCCAACCCCCAACTCTCCACCACTTCAGACAAATGGTTATCCAAGATCTTTTTAAAAACGTCCAGTGTTGGAGCATTCACAACTTCTGGAGGCAAGTTGTTCCACTGATCAATTGTTCTAATTGTCAGGAAATTTCTCCTTAGTTCTAAATTGCTTTCTCCTTGATTAGTTTCCACCTGTTGCTTCTTGTCCTACCCTCAGGTGCTTTGGAGAATAGTTTGACTCCCTCTTCTTTGTGGCAGCCCCTGAGATATTGGAACACTGCTATCATGTCTTCCCTAGTCCTTCTCTTCATTAAACTAGACATACCCAGTTCCTGCAACTGTCCTTCATATGTTTTAGCCTCCAGTCCCCTAATCACCTTTGTTGCTCTTCTGTGCACTCTTTCTAGAGTCTCCACATCTTTTTTACATCATGGTGACCAACACTGAATGCAGTATTCCAAGTGTGGCCTTAGCAAGGCATTATAAAGTGGTATTAACACTTCATGTGATCTCGATTCAACCCCTCTGTTTATGTAGCCTAGAACTGTGTTGGGTTTTTTGGCAGCTGCTGCACATTGCTGGCTCATATTTAAATGGTTGTCCACTAGGACTCCAAGATCCCTCTCACAGTTACTACTATTGAGCAAGATACCACATATATGGTACCTGTGCAGCCTTGGGGTACTCTACTGCATACTTCCCTCCATGTAGATGCAGTTCCATTGAGGACTACACGTTGAGTGCATTAATGAGGTATTATTATTTTTGCTAAAAATTCTGAGTTTACTGAATATACCGGTATTTTCTTCAGACAACTGAGAAAATTACTGAAAAGGGTGTTTTTAAAATGTGGTATTTTCATACAGAAACTGATCGCCATCAAGAATACTATAATGCATTATATATAAAACAATGGAAAAGACAGTAATTTTTAGAGACATGGCAATACCTGGGGGGGGGTAGAAGAACAGAGGAAAAAGAATTGGAAAAATGTAAACTATAGAGCTCTGATGATAGAAATAGGTAAATTCACTTAATTAAGCAAACATTTATCATTAAGCAAATGTTTACGACAACTAAATATTTTGGCTTTATCAATTGTGAATTTAAAAAAAAAAATACTTTGAATGAGCACACATTACATTTTATGATGTTACTTGCATAATTCTTAGATTCCTGGCTGTAACTCAAATTCCAAATATATGATTCTCTTTGTTTTTTTCTTTGAACTGTTAGTAATTAATAAACACAAATAAGAATTTAAGTTCTATAATTATTATTTCATGCAGTAAGTCCCAATCAAGTGAAACAGAAGTGCTGCCGAAATGCCATGTTTTTGCATGGTAAATACATCTCACTTTAAATTTTATTACATGTAAAGAGAAGGAAAAATGTATATATATCTTTCATACTAAAAAAGAAATAATGCTATACAAAAGTAGCAGTACTATTTTGAATAAAATCTATCTCAACTGTCAATCACTAAATAAACATATCCATATTAGTTTTTTGGCAAAATCATGTAAGCACCAAGTACTTACATTTTTCAGAAGCAATATTAAATGATTTACTTGTTATTATACACACACACACCCCTAAATACCTACACACCTCCAAGTCAGTGTTTTGACTTCTGGTGATTGCTTAGGGAAATTTTCTTGGTAAGCTTTTCCAAAAATTGGCTTGCCATTTCCTCCTTCCTAGATGAAGAGTGAGTGGTTTAGGCTTTGTGCCTAAGATGGGACTAAAACCCACAATGACCTGGTTTTTAGGCCAATGCCTTAAGCACTACACCAAAATGGCTATGAGAAGCATTATTTCAAACATTAAAAAGCAGGACCTCTATAGAATAATCACATCCAGGAACTATTATGTATAACATCATTATGTTAAGGTTGCTACTTACAAGATCTGAGGTAGTAAATTAACTTTATTTAATAGACATTAAATAGACAATAGGTTAAAATGTGTAACCTATTTTTACAGATAATTGTTTTAGAATTCCATAGCGGCCGCGCGGGTGGTGACGGGAGCGATGTGGCGCTCCCATGTGACCCCCCTCCTGCGCGAGCTGCACTGGCTCCCAGTGGTCTTCCGGGTGCGCTTCAAGGTTTTGGTTACCACCTTTAGAGCGCTCCATAGCTCAGGACCAGGGTACTTACAAGACCGCCTTCTGCCACCAGTAGCCTCTCACCGACCAGTTCGCTCCCATAGAGAGGGGCTCCTCAGGGTGCCGTCGGCCAAACAATGTCGACTGGCGGCCCCCAGGGGGAGAGCCTTCTATGTGGGGGCATCTGCCATCTGGAACGAGCTCCCCCCGGAGATACGGAGGATCCAAAACTTACGCATCTTCCGCCGTGCCCTAAAAACATTTTTATTCCAACAGGCTGGTCTGGCCTAACTCTCCCTTTTAAATTGGGTTTAAAATGTTTTTAGATAAATTGGATGTCTTAAATTTGTTTTTTGAGCCTAAATTATTTAATCTGTTTTTAATAGTTTTTTTAACTTTTGTATGTCTTTGTATTTTACCTTGGCTGTTCACCGCCCTGAGTCCTTCGGGAGTAGGGCGGTATACAAATATGATAAAATAAAATAATAATAATAATAATTGTTTTGTTTTGGCTGAACGAATAAGGAGCTCCAATTTAGTTACCCTCTTTTCATTAAGACAAGCATCCATCTGATCTGGAAATCTAGCAATGCAGCAAGAATTGTTCTGTGCTTTGAATCCAGAAAAAAAAAGGCTGAGCAAAGCAGCCTCCTTAGTACACCAATAGCTGATTGGCATCTAAGAACCACCTGTTTGGATGACTTGCTTTTCACTAAAAGGGTAAATTTACTTTAGTGTGGAGGTGCAGATTGATATGCATATGTTTCTCTGTGCAGTAAAATTCTGTTGATACAAATAACTAAAGATTCTCTCCTCAGAAAATGTTCAGGCTAAGAAAGTAAAAAGACAGGGTGAAAGGGTTCAGGTATGGGTGGGGTGTATGGAAAAAAACACACCCTTGGGTCACATGGTATGCAAGGAGGTTAAAATGTGTAACCTATTTTTACAGATAATTGTTTTGGAATTCCATAGCCAATTGAGGAAAGGAGCCTGCCCACATTTCTGTGGAACAAATAAGTACAACAAAACCTGTATCTCGAGGGCCTCTGTGTTTTGAGAAAAGAAGAGAGACTGCTTGGCTTTGCAGGCTGCAAATGGCCTACAGCATTGTGATAACCCAGCAGTGTTTTTCAGCTGTGACACAGATGACAAATTTGCATTTAAAGAGGAGCTGGGATCTAAATGGCAGAGATTTCAAGGCAGCACAGTCGGTGGGGAGGGAGAGAAAATGAGCTTATGGGCAAGAGAAAAGAGCTAAGCTGCAATCCCCACTGTGCACCAGAGCAAGGGATATCATTCCTGGCCTCGAACTGCTTCACAACCCCGCACCATTCACACGCCCTTTGGCCACTTAGAGCTCAGGAGGGGAGAAACAGCATTAGAGGACTCAATAGAGATTTCCGAGCCTGACTGGTGGGCTCTCAGGGGGATGGCAGGGCAGGGTGAGCACAGGCCCCGTTGCCAAGGGGTGGCCGCAGAGAATGCCAGCATGGGCACCATCGCGCCTGGCGGAAACATTCCACATTATGTGGGTAATACAGTGTGACACTCCACAAACAATGGCAAATCGAGTGTCCCAGCAGGTAACAGGGTCTGGATAGGAGGCCATGACAGTGAAGCTCTGTCAAGAGTCCCTAATCCACCCAAGCTCTGCTCCCCCCTTGCCCCCTTGATGCCTCTGAGAACTTCAGTTGTATCACTGGGAAACCTCTCCCAGCCATCCCCAGCCCCCTCTTCCCATCTACGAGAGAATTCCAGGGTATAATTGAGAGAGGGGGCAATGGAATGGGGGCTGATCCTTCTATATACACAGGCTCCAGGACAGTTTTAAATTACCCCCTGAATTCCCATTCTGAAGATAGCATCCCAGATCCAGTTACTCTGGTTCATTCTCAGACTGCGAATCCTAGAGCTCTGCCTAATGAAAAGCAGAGTCGCATTCTCCCATAACTCTTTCTTTTCAGAGCAGAAGAAGCATCTACCTCACTGGAGCCTCCCCTTGGCATTGCTGCATTAATTATTGTCCTGTTCAAACCTTTGCTGGGAACAATTATTTAAATTAGGAATGCCACTTTTCAACACTTATTTTAAAAACTAACCTCAAAGGGCCAAAAGACTCTTCAAAATCAGGTCAGAATGGGCAGGATGATAGTCTGCGTCTTCTCCTTTTTCTTCTCTTTCTCTTTTAAAAGGGGTGCTTTTCCCAATGTATGGCTTAGGCTCTGGCTTAATGCAGTGTATCACGTCAACTCAGCTAGTACTGTATTAAAATTAATGAAACTACAAAACCAGATAATAAAAAGCAAGGAAAGGCATGCATGCACATGTGTGTGCACATGTACACACACATTTAATGCCGGGATGTAAATGATTGATCCAATTATTTGCAGAAGACTGCTTATTGTAACCAACTACGAGTCTGTTTTGCACAGAACATATTCACTGGGTCATCTTAACACTATGCCAGCCATAATTGTAGAGGTCAGATATTTCCGATGTCATTCTGGAGAGATAACCTAAGGAATTTTCTCATGTTGCATCGTCCCACATAATATCCTTGTCCTCTGTTCTAATAACATCTTTGCTACTCAAGAACTTCAATTGGCCAGGAAAAAAAATCATGTCTGAAATAAGCAAGACAATTGCTAAATTCTGTTCAATAGCAATGGCTGTGAGGATCACTTCAGTGTAATGCTGGAATTAACCTAGGATTTCTGGTGCCATATAGCTAGGAATTGAATTATTTTAGCTTTTAATTGTTCATATTCCCATATTTTTGTTATATCATGGAATGGTTTTGATCATTGGAGTGTAACTAAATAAATTGGGTCTTTCCACCCTCTTTTGCAGCCACAAGAGAATCAGCTTTTGTGCATGCCATTGCCTCTGCTGGTGTAGCCTTTGCTGTCACACGCTCATGTGCTGAAGGTACTTCCACTATTTGTGGCTGTGACTCACACCATAAGGGACCACCTGGTGAAGGATGGAAATGGGGAGGCTGCAGTGAAGATGCTGATTTTGGGGTACTTGTCTCACGAGAGTTTGCAGATGCCCGAGAAAACCGTCCAGATGCTCGCTCTGCCATGAACAGGCACAATAATGAAGCTGGAAGAACAGTGAGTGGCTCCCCTCTTTATATTCTTCTGAAAAAGAATGGGCAACAAATCATTTTTTTACCCTTCATTCATGCTGGAAAGTTGGCCAGCACAAGAGCCCAAATCTCAGCAGCTCTCTGATCCAGACTAAAGCACTGTTGATGGCTTCATTCAATGGACAGACAGAAACTTCTCCCTCTTTTCTCCTTATCAGCTGCAGCCACTCAAGGCCATTCAGTCATCTTCCCCTTGTCACCATGGCTCATGACCCATCAAGAAACAGAGGAAAAACATATAAAACCCTCTGCCCTGAGAGCAACTGTATGGCCATAGTGCTTTCTAAGAAGTAGCAGTATCTGGAGATTAGGAAAAAGAAGGTAGATAGGTGTGTATTTGATGGCTCAGGCAAAAGGACTAGCCAGTTAAAGAGATCAATTACATTTTGCTTATCCAAATACCTGAGGCATTTGCTTAAACTATCATGATAAGAGAATGATTGCCTGCATTTCCAGGCAGATTGTAGTGACTACAATTTCCATCACCCCTTGTCAACACAGCCATGCTGTCTGATGATGATTTGAGTTTTAACACTTCTAGACAGCATGAAGTTGGAGAATGATGTATTTTTTTTATTATGTTTCTAAATTGATGCAATCCCAATTCATTATAAATTCTTAAAATAACATAGTTCTGTTTAAGAAATAATTTGGAAGAGTATAATACTCTAACAGTTTGATTAACAGTCATTGGTCAAACTAAAGTTACTTCTCTAGAAGAGAAGACAGATGTGTTTGTCTTTTTATTACCAGATCAAAACGCTATAAGGACAAATTTGTTCTAATGAAAATTGCATAGAAGAAATCCTAAAAGCTTGACTTGCCTGATTTTTTGTTTTCTTTTGCACAGACTATCTTGGATCACATGCATTTAAAATGCAAATGCCATGGCTTGTCTGGCAGCTGTGAGGTTAAAACATGCTGGTGGGCCCAGCCAGATTTCCGGGCCATTGGTGACTACTTGAAGGACAAGTATGACAGTGCTTCGGAGATGGTGGTAGAGAAACATCGGGAATCCCGTGGTTGGGTGGAGACACTGCGTGCCAAGTATGCCCTCTTTAAGCCACCAACAGAGCGTGACTTGGTCTATTATGAGAACTCACCCAATTTTTGTGAACCCAACCCCGAGACTGGGTCATTTGGTACAAGGGACAGGATGTGCAATGTGACCTCACATGGGATTGATGGGTGTGATTTGCTCTGCTGTGGCCGTGGCCACAACACTAGGACAGAGAAAAGGAAAGAGAAATGCCATTGCATCTTCCACTGGTGCTGTTATGTCAGCTGCCAGGAATGCATTCGTGTTTATGATGTTCATACCTGCAAATAAAAAAAAGGTATGTGTGGGGTAAGGGACTACCTAGAGCAAAATAGATATTTTGTTATTGTTGCAATAGTAGCTAAAGAGTATGAGAGGGAAAGTATTTAGTTTGAAGTTCACCTTCATCTTAAGCAATCTTAACTAGCAGGCAGTGTGGACATGCCTCACACATGAAACATTTGTGAAGACTCCTGTGCTATCATTATATGAAATGCTCAGGAAATACAAAATCCTCTGCAAGAGCACTCATTATTAAATAAAATCTTGCATGAATTTTAATGCAATGAATTTAGAACTTTCCCTAAGTTAAGGCTATAGAAGACTTCCTTCCCAATGTTTTTGGAATTAGCTACTATTTCTTATACACAAGTATGCAAACTGGGGTCCCAAATGTGATCTTCCCAGGATAGTTGCTCAGCAGATGAAAGAGGACACTGGAACATGGATATGTCACTATCCGAATAACTCTTAAAAACAGAGAATAGCATCCAACAGGGCAGAAAAAAAGACATAAGAGGCTGAATCATATGGGGAGAACAAATAAGGTGGTGTGTGAAATACAGAAAGAAATAATTCTGTGAGGACTGAAAAAAAATTATTTAGGAAAACACATTCCTGATATAAACACTTCTTAATTAGATTGACAATAATATAGATACAACAGCTTTCTCAACCCTTACCACCTTTCAGATGTGCTTGTCCATAAGGCCCATAATTTCAATCCAGTACTTGTGCTGTCTGGAACTTTTATATCTGGAACTCACCAGTGTTGGGGGGGAAACTGAATTATGAGTAAATGGACAACACAGAAAGCTGTTCTTCTACATGGCAGTGTTATCGAAATTGGGATCCTATCACTATTCGATTTCCAGACTTTTGGAGGAGATCTAAATGGCAAATTGACTATAAACCATTTCTTTCATGACTTCAGTTAAAAGGGTGGAGACTTATTAAATGTGTAAAGTCATAAATTAAACTCAAATAATAAGTCAAGTTCTCTGAAGAACTTGAATACCTATCCAATATTTTATGCTACTTAGCTTGTCATAATCAGCATTTTAACATATAAATTTTTGACTTTGAATAATGAACCAACACAGCACTGATTAGAAAAATTAGGAAAAATTTGAATGACAAATATGCTTGCAAGTGCAATTTGTTGCTGAAATGCTCTTAACACAATAGGTCACAATTGGCTTGAATGCAAAGTTGTTTTTTAAAAAAGGGTCAATAAGATAGTTCAACTATGGAAGTATAGGTTCAATCAACAGACTAACCTGTTCCTCCCAAAGTGAATCCTACTTCTATCTCACCTTGTGAAGGCTACTAACTTAAGGAAAACCGAACCCATTCAGGGATAAGAGAAGCACAATTTAGATTAGAAAGAACTAGTTCGTGTCACATCAAAAATTGTGATCATTCATACGATTTGCTTATTAATTTTCTGTGGAAATAGCTTTATGGTATAGCTGGAGGATAAAGAGAAGGTGAGAGACTGCCTGGAAACATTATAGTTAAAGTTCCTGGCTCTGAACAATGAAGAGAAAAAGATAGCATACTCAGCTTCCTTCTCAACTAAGGCAGGCAATGATGAAATAAACTCCTTCTTGAAAACAATCCAACCAGACTTCTTCAGATAGCCTACTTAGCAACATCTGCATTTCTTCTTGAACAGGTTGCATTATGGCGGCTGACAATGAGCTCTGAAGTTCCTGAGGTAATGTTCCCAATATTTAAAGGTTATTTGTTTTGCACATATGAGAATATATTTGTTTAAAAATCCCTACGAAAGGAGTAAAGGTGTTGCAACTTTTACATATATTCATTGTAACTATTCATGGTAGTAAATGATGTTCAAAATGCAGAGGAGTAAGGGCCAGGCTCAAAAAAATGTGAAAGGAAGAAACTCAAATGATAGCAGGTAGTTCTTCTTAAACACTTCTTCAAGTGCAGTTATTTTATGAATAATTTAATGTGAATCTTCATTTCCACATACATACCCTGCCCTATAATCATGTTTTTTAATCTGCAACATAGCTTGGATTTTGGAGCTGAAATGTTAGAGTGACAGCATTTCATTTTTTTTCAACTGATCAAGATTTTGCTTAGTACAACTTTTAGTCTTTTGACCAACAATGATCCACCATATAGAAACACACATCATCTTTAACATACACAAAAATATACAGTATGTATACCCACACACTTTCAAACATTAAGAGTCCCAGAATACATAAATAGAGACTAGAGCAGGGGTGTCAAACTCCTGGCCCGTAGGCCAGATGTATCATGCACTGGCCACACCCATGCTCAATTTAGCGAAGGGAAAAATTTCAATACGTCACGATGACGCCCTTGGATTAGAGGAAACTTGACACCCTTGGACTAGAGGAAGGGAAAGTGAGACTCTGAAATATTAGCAGCCAGCTCCTTCTTCAAAATCTAAATTTCTAACTAAACCTGCTTGAAAATGCTGAGTTAGACTGAATTAATAGAAGAAAGAGTTAAGATTGGCAACCAATCCATTGAGGCATGTTCTTTTTGTTCTGTTTTAACCAACAAAGTTAATAATTATTCTTGCTTCTCCCTCCAATGATTCAAGTGAGCAATTCTCTCTCCTTATTTAAGCACCAAGTATTTGTCTCCATAGACACTAAAAATGTCATGGTTCCTGGAGAACAATAAACATACTCAGACAATATTGATACTTCTTTCCCTTTTACATTTATTTACAGACCTACATGTTTCTGGATACCTAGAGGATACTATTAACTATCTTGTTTTGGGATGTTCTAATTTCTTTACAGAGAGACAATGAGACTTCCTAAGTTAGCTATGGTATCTGCCCCTCCTATCAATATTCCTCCTTTCCCACTGAATAAATTTAAGTTGCTGCTACTGACTTCAGGACACATTTTTCTAAAAATGATGGTCTCCCTGAAATTTTAATAATTTTAAGTTTTCTATTATTTTGATCTTTCTCACACACATAATTTTGCCATGGCTCCTTCCAAAATACTGCAGTAGTACCACTAAATCAACCCATCTAAAGTTGAATCGATGATTTGAACTCAACTGGAAAAGCTGAGGATGATTATTGCTAATAAGAGTAGATTTTATACTTATAAGGTGCTCCAAAATATTTGAGATATGTAATTAACCTGCTTCATATTACAGTTTCTTTTCTTCTGGTCCAAACTAATATAGGTCCTTGCTTCATTGGAATTTGCCATTTACACCCCTTGTGCATAATGCTATTTTCTTAAACCTTCTCGAAATGTCCCGCAGAGATGTGAGAATTTAATTCTAAATGAAAAATTTGGAATGTATTAGTACTGAACTTTAAAAAAAATTTTTTTGAAATAGCACACGTTGTGGGTAAAGATGGTCTAACTAATTTTATGTGGCATTATGTCATGCTGACAAATTCATTCAACTGGCTTTATCTGCCAAACCATTTCCTATAGTGTGATTGAATGCTGTTACCTGTACTATATGGTTTAGCCAGCCAATATCAGCCAAAAGAAAGATAATGTATATCTACAACCTTATCACCCACTTAATAAAAACTTTTCCATTTTTCCACTGTTAGGATAAATTGCTGCACATCTTTCATAGAGAATCTTTCTGTCCAATTTGATCCTTGCTTACAAAAAATAAATCAGAAAACAAAAAATATTTTCTTCTAATAATCCCAGTATAACTATAGTATAGATAAATTAATATTAACCAATCAATAAGTTAATAAAATTCAAATCCTGAGAAGAGTAACTACTGTTAGTCAGTTTTGACATCACTGAGCATAGTGAGCATAGTTAAAACATTCTATCATCAAATGGAAATATGCTCCACTAGAAAAGCAGGAACAAGTTTATGACCAACTCAGCCTGCTTTAATCTCTTAGAATAATTTAAAATGTAGCCTTTGAGGAGAAAGGAATACTAGGTATGTTTGTTACCTTATTTTTAAAAATTATTGGTGGGCTATAAATAAAAATAATTAAATAGGGAAATAATTTGTCACTGCTTTTTTCCAGAATTTTTTTAAGCTTCCAAATTTAACTTCCAGCAGTAGTATTTTCTGGTAATTCCTATCCAAGTACTAATCAGATCCAATTCTGCTTATTCTTTTGGAGATCAGCTAAATTCAGTGAGCTGCATGATCTAACTTCAATGAGTCTAAGAAACCTCTAATTTTAAGCATTTGTAGAAGGAATGGAGTAGGAATATATATTCCAATAAATTCTAATCATCATTCAGGAAGCATTGAAAATTTGGTTTGAAAATGCACTTGCTACATTTCAAGGGAAATATTTTCCATTTTTTTGGCCACATTTAGAATGTATGCTTGCTGTCACATAAAAAAATGACTTAAAAGTAAGGAAGTTATTTCAAAAAGTATATATTCCTTATTAACCTACAGTGGCTTTGCCATTTTTTTTCTTGCTGTAGATATTCTAGAATTAAAAGAGGGTATATCTTTATACGAAAGAAAGCCTCACAGTCTATCTGCTTCCTTTGCCCTCAACCTGCTGCATCCAAAGTTCTTTATTAAGCAGAAGAGATTTCCCATAACCTGGTGCTCCTTTAAAGGAGTTAGGCCACAATTCCCAGAATCTTTAAACAATTCAGCTTAATAGATCAGAGATGATGAGAGCTATCAAAGACAGCTAGGAGAACACCAGGGGACAAAGCAGCTCTAGAGGGTATTCATCTTTTTTTAAGTTGTATTCTGAAAATGCTGTTTTTATAATTATTTATTATACAATGTATATACCTTTGAGTTAACTAAGATTATATATTATATAAATATATATATAGATATATTTGAAGAAAATATTTCATCTTTCCTTGCTTCTCATGTCAGTAAAGGTACAAAGGCACTTAAAACAATATTTTTAATATTTTCATACTGTTCCTGTGGAAGGTGTGGATGTAATCAACTATTATGTAAAGGAGGCGTTGCTGCCTATGATTTCTAAAAACAGTAGCATACTGTAATTTTTCTGGGTTATAAAAATGGATCTGAGAAAATGCAGTTGGAATCCACGAAGTACAATTTTTTTTTACAATTTAAGCATAACTGCCTTCCCATTCTTTTTTAATGCTAAGAATTTCAGCAAGTATATATAGTAGAGATACCAGGACTTCAGTATTGGTACAAATTTTAGATAGGAATTTCATGTTTGCTCTTAGCTAACTCTAATCCCTAACTTTTGTATCTCAGTAAATTTAGCCCTGAAAACGTACCCATCCAGTCCAGTGAGACCTAGTTAATTTTGGCCAGACGTTAAGCTTTGTAAAGTTTTTTGCTCTCTCCCAACTCTATCACAGGTTAAATGTATCGTTTAATATGTACCAGTCAGTGATTGCTGGAGAAACCTTGTTTCTTTGAAATGAGCAATATTTTGCAGATCTTTCAGGAGAAATAATTTACTCATCCCGTCATTTCAACTCAGAAACCATCAATACATTTTAAACATCTGTGCCTTTTTATTGCATTCTGCATTTTAACATACAATCAATCATATATATATATATATATATATATATATATATATATATATATATATATATATAATAATAATAATGTTTGTATTTTTCTTTCTCAGTTTAGCTTTGGACAAAAAAAACCACAATAAAAATGTTTATATTATTTGATCAAGACAATACAATATGTATGTTTTGCTTTCAGTGAAAAATGGAGGGAAATGGGAGTGGGGCGGGTGGAGGTTGGGTGGACAGCAGAGAAAAATCCAGCTAAGAGCAGTTCAATCATATCACCTACAAAACATGGGAGTCTTACATGTCCACCGTCATTCGCACATTATCGTTCATGGCAGAAAATCAATAAATATAAATCAGAGACAATGCTAATCCACAGTAAAATAAATATTCAGCTACCCTGCAAGAGTTTCTAATACTGCAGGTCTGTCTTTTGTAGCACAGAATTGGAAGATGTCAAGTACTGTTTTTATTCTTCCAAATTTAGCAACTTGGAGAAGCAAGGAAAGGGAATCATGCCAATAATGGAATAGCCCATTTGTTGAATGTGAGTGAATGGGTTACTTTTTGGGGCCATGCAATGAACCTTTTCTTAAAAGAGCTTAAGAGCCAATAAATGTTTCACTGCAAAAAGAAATGACAGATGTGCATTTAGTTTCCTTCCCTTTCTTGCAATTTAGAAGACCTTAAACTCAGCTACATCCCACTCATGCTCTAGTTCATCACTCCCTATACTACTGGGCAAACTTCCTTTGACAAGAGTTGCAAACAAACTCCTTAGTATGATAGGCAAGGATAAGATGTGTTATATTTTAGTACTAGGAATAGGTGGCTAATTTGCTCCAGTTTAAGTACATACTACATTCTTTAGAATGTTGGTCAGTGTGCTTCCCCTAAAGGATGGAATGGTAAGAAATAAGTGATAGAGCATTCTAAATAGCAGCCTATTGCTCTCACTGATTCAATATTGCATTGCACACCAAAAATCACAGGAAAACACCTCTGGAAAAGGCAAATTAGGCTTTTCCCTAATTTCTACTATATAAAATATGAGGCTAACAGCAGACAACAGCCAACCACAGTGACTGAGATTAATTGCTAGACATGTGACTGAAGTGTCAATAAGCTACTTGCTAAGTGGCAAAGGAAGGAAAGAAGATACAGTATGAACTCAACATCTTACACCTACACACTTGACAGATCTCTTAAAAATAATTCTGTGCAACATTTTCATAAAGGAGACAGATTGTAGCAGGTAAGGGTCAATGTGACAAAAGACAGAAGAAT